GGTGTACCTGCCCTGCATGTGAAAGAAGAAAGTCAAGTAGAACAAATTTGTCCTTGAATTCTAGCTAAAGAGTGGCGATGGGAATTTTTAATGGTGGGAGTTGGCATGTTCAGTGTGGTTTTGTTTGTTTGTTTTTTCCCCTCTTTAACTCAAAACTGTAAGTTGCACAGCAAACTTGTATACAGGTTTTCTTTCCATTCCTTTTGGCTATGATAGTATTTACCTCTCACTGATTTCATGTTCCTTCAGGATATTTGTGCTGAGCTGCCATTCTCCGATTCCTCCACACCCCTCCTTGCTCCCTGACTTCACCTATTCATTCAGTTACCATGATAGTCTGTTATTTCCCACATCTCTGTAGTGTACGTATAGTGCAGTGTACATACGTATCATATGTTTTAAAGAATCGTAAAAGATGCCCCGAGTAACATACTGAACAGCTAGTCCCTAATGAATCTAGCACTTTATTTCTTCTATTATTTTAAAGTCCCAACTCTTGAATTTTTTTCCTTGAGTCTGATCAGATAGTATTGTATTGACATAATTACTCTTGTGCTAGTAGCTGCCATTCAGAATTCTTACTTATGTTCCAATGATACATTAATGACCCTGCTTTTTGTAAGGCATGGCAGCATAATCATCTGAACATGAAGTGACATATGCAGCATATGTATAACTGAATTGCATGTTGCCTGTCATTTTTCTGGGCTTGGAGCAAAGCAAGAATTTTCACGTAGGTGCTGCTGGGGTGTTGCTGTGCATATGTTCTAAAACGTCTGCTGGAAACATCAATTTTATGCAATAAGTATGTAAAAAGCTGTGTATTCTTACAACATGGGCAGTGGTTGTAGAAGTAACATGGGACATGCAGTTTTCTACAATAAAGGCCTTAAAGAATTGGTAGTAAAATTGATGACTGTTATCTGGGCAGTATATGGAGCACTGTTGTCACGTGAAAGAGAACAAGGGGTTCTTGGAGTGCTTATATTCAGGTTACTTCAGTGTCAGCTGAGGTAGAACGGCTTTACTCATTGTTCGTGCTGACAGTACTTTTCTAATAAACCTAGTAGAAATTCAGGTAACGCATCCAGAATCTGCACTGGTGCTTTAGGTGTACATGCTATTTGACTTTAGTTCACAGATGCTACGTGTCCTGTGTAATAATCTTTTTGCCTTCTTTTGTATAAGTGATAAACTGCATAGAAAGTGGGAAAGTATTGCTATAGTTCTTGTTCTAACCTTCTTCTGTTTCATCACTTCTAATAACAGCAAGCAAAGAATCATTGTTTAGTAATGCTAATGAATTTATTTTTTAGGATCTGGTCAACACTGGACTCAGCACTTTCTTCTTTTTCGTTGCCTCTGTAGTACTTGCTGCTTTAAACCATAAAACTGGAGCAGAAATTGCTGCTGTGGTAAGAATTTGAACTTCTTTATATATGACTATTCTCTTTTATTAAAACTAAGAGCAACTTTTTTCCTCGTGTTCATTGAATACTCCTGTTGCCTGTGCCACCGCAATTTACTTCTAATTTTACAGTTGGCTATATGCTAATTCTGATTTAGAAAGTATTGACATCCTTTGACATGTTTGCCTTAAGGCTTGAGGCAAGAACAAACAGAAAAATGACTTGCAGAGAGCACATTAACAGTTGAACTTCTTTCTCTATAGCTAGCTTAGAGGATACTGCTCTATATTGCAAGCCTACAGAAAAGATAGAGCCAAAAATTCACAAGAGATTGGGAGCTGCTTACACATAATTTGCTGAATTCTTGCTCACTACAGATCATTTTTGTTCTGTGGAGTGAGTATAGTAGTACTTCAAGATTTTAAATCTAGAACAGTAAGGTCAAGCAAATTCATTTTGTGCTTGAGTTGGCAACTTTTTTTCTTTTTTTCCCCAAAACCTGGATACTGAAAATCACACAACAGTTCTGCAGAAGCATATAGGAAGAACTGCAAATTAGCTCCTTCTCCAGGCTGATGGTCTGGACTGGTCATCTGTTCTCTGGTCATTCACTCACTATTATGTGCACCCTGAGGAATGAACTGTTGGATGAAGAGCTGTATTCTTCTTTACAAGAGGTTCTTCTGTTGAAGTTGCATTGCAGGATTTAATTGTCATGTTTGTAGACAGAGAACTTTGTTTTCTGGGATCATTGATCTTGGCTGCTTTTGCAGATTCTCTAGTTCACTGAAGAAGGAAAAGATCAATTTTACAGGCAATGATGATTTGTCAGTGCAAATAAAGTAGAAAACTAAGTTTCTGAGGAATTTGTTGTGAAACTACTATTGTTCTTGTTTTCAAAAATTGTCTTTGACAACTCTTTCTACTTCTTGTAGATATTTGGTTTCTTGGCAATGGCAGTGTATGCTGTGAACACATATTTAGCTATTAAAAAGTGGCGAATGAACAGCAGACAACAAAGTAGTCGGCAGACCAGTGATTACATACGTGCTCGGACAGAATCCAGAGAAGTAGATCATCGCCCTGAGATTCAGCGTCTGGATGCATGAAACCGACATTCAAATGGGACTGCAAAGGGAAAGAAGTGCTTAACTCCCTCATGGAATAAAGGGTTTTTTCTTTATTTAAGGAAGAAAAGGAAGATCAGATGGTGGCAAAGAATTCCCAGCCCTGCATATGTGCAGAGATGCATCGAGTCAGAAGCCGTTGTCATGAAGGCAGTGAATGTTGGTCATTCAAAAGCAAGATCCGTTTAAGATGTCCACATATATATACATATATTATATATCTTATATAATATATAATATATATGTTTTGCAGTATGTTGTTGCTTTGGATTAACTGCACAGTACTTTCCTTCCCTCTCCCAAGTGCAAGCTCTGAATATACATGTTCTGCCATTGTTTCTTTGTCTATCGTAAACACTAAGACCAGCACTACATTGCTTGGTTAATATAGGAAAGAAATCCACCAAAAGTAAATTTAATACATGCGAAAAGGAAGTGAGGGGCAAATAGCAATAACTTTAGCCATGTATCATGTCCAACAAACTCTCTGTATCCATCCTCGTGCAGCCTTGGCGGTGCAGCTCAATTCTCGTCTGCCAGATCTCCTGTAGTTTCACTGTTGGTGCACTTATATAGCTGAAATGGACAACCATTTCACATTTTTTCTTTGATGGATATAGTGTTGAGGTGGTTACCCTATGGGTTACTCTGCAATTGCCATATTCAGTTCATGTATGGCCTTGGCCAGATCTGAACTTGTGCAAAATTAGCGTGTTTACTGAATGGTCACCATAATGCATCGAGTGCAGGTATATGGTTGTCTGCTAATGTTGGGATGCATTCTCTTTTTCATTCTAAAATGGGAAAAGAAATACGCTTGCGAGGCAGGGTGGAGAAAAGGTGGTTGAGGGGCACAGTAGAGAAAGAAGGGGTTGTCAATCCAGTAGACTTGCATTCTAGTCACAGCTCTTTTTTTTCCCTGTTTTCTGTGGGGTCTTTTCGTTTGTTTTGGTTGTTGTTGTTTGTTTTTTTTTTAAGGTTCAACCTTTCTGAGGAGCCTTGGGTGAGCAAGAACTAGGAAAAAATGTGCTTATAAAGTGTTCCTAAGGTTGCAATATTGTGATTCATGTAAGATAAATATTGTCCTTTTCAGAGGGTTGTTTGTTTCTTCTAAAATCAAATCTGGTAGTAGGTAAAACTGATTTTTTTTTTTTTTTTTTTTTTTGGTTGGGTGTTTATGTTTTTTAGATAAATATTGTCCTTTTCAGAGGGTTGTTTGTTTCTTCTAAAATCAAATCTGGTAGTAGGTAAAACTGATTTTTTTTTTTTTTTTTGTAATTGGGTGTTTCTGCAAATTTTTTTCCCTAATATTTCTTTGGAAAATGAGTTTAGATAATTGGAGGATAATATGGTTGTATTGATTTGTTTAGAAATAGTTTTACCTAACTGAAGTTTTCTTACTTTAATTGTACTTCCAGTGAAGAGAAGGATATTTTCTCTACTCAAAACTTGAATTCTGCTGTAATCAGTTGGATGATACCAGAATGTTATTAGGAAGATGTCTCTTGATATTCTTCTGTTTTTTTGATTGGTGTTTTTATCTGTAATCCATTATTTGGCATACGCATGCCTGCATGTTACATGAAGAAAATGTGCAGGGGAGATGATCTCTAAAGCTGAATTCCTTTCTGGTGTAGGCTGATGAAATCTTTGAAATCAGCAGAACTGTATGCCACGTATGCCTGAATTTATCTCATATTTGACTTGAACACTTTGTGTTGTACTGTAGCTGTACTCTTGAAGTAGATGAATGAAGTTAACTGGAGTCTTAAGAACAAACAGCAATATGTTGCAAGAGGTCACTTTTAAATATGAAAAACAGGTTATACCAAACAGAAGATCAATAGAAGTGCCTGGGCTTTTTTAATAGCGGAGGGAACCGGGATAGTGACAGGTGTGAACCTACCGCTGCAATGTTTGAATCGGGCAACAGAGAATTATTTTGATGTGTGAAAAACTGGTGACAAAACTGATGTCTCTTCATTTTCAATTTACTGATGTCTACAGTGCATTTCATCTTAGTGGCTAAGATGGAGATTAAAACTCAGAAAGAGTTATTAATGAGGTTGAAGAAAACTTGCCTTTTCTTAATGAGTAATGGGTTACCAGTTAGTATAGTAACATTTTATTGTGCTTCATTGAAAGTTAATGCCAAAGGGAACACCAGTTTAAAAAAAGATCGAACCATGTAAGCCACCCCCTCCCGTTGGGTTTAGAACACAGGCATTTTGTTGAGGTGGTGTCTCACCAGGATTACCGTGCATTTCGCGAACAGTAAACGACATGTCCATGCTCAGCGTGGTACGAAATAGCGAAGTTTGTTGTTGCCAGCACAGTTGTTACAGCTCTGCTGTTTTTCAGCACTCTGCTGAGTATTGGCAAAGTTTGCAAGGAAAGTTTGCAGATATTGTCCGTTATTAAAAGAGCCTTTTTAAAAGTAGCACAAGCATGTCTAGACTGGAATTGTAAACTGGCATTAAAGCAGTTTGTATAAAGATTGTTAAAAACAAAACACCACAACAAAACACACAAAAAAACCTCCAACCAAAAAAACCCTAACAAATAAACCCCCCAACAAACCAAAAAACACCACCACACAACAAAAACGCCCAAAACAAAACCACACCAAAAAACCAAAACCAAAACCCCCTACTCAAGTACAGAATATTGTCCTCCAGAAGATCCATGCTTTTAGAGTGGAACCCTCATCTGAAATGAAGAAACAGAAGTTAGGTGATGCAAAGGCTTTTCATTAGGAGTGTGTCCTGTTTGCTGGTTGATGGCAAGGACTGAAATGGTGCGTACATAAGAGAACTCCCCGTTCCTCTCCTGTACTCCCTGTGCTGATTCTGTTTTTTCAGAGGGGTGGAAGGTCTCGTGCATCTGCAAGTTTATGAATTTGGTCTCTTTCAAATCCTTACACCTTTCCTTACCTAGAAACAGGATAACTTCACCGAGCTTTTTCTGGAGTGAGATCATGAAAACCTTTTGCTATCTTTTAGCTGGAATGACAAATGCAGAATGATGCAGTTATACTTCTAATACAGTGTAATACTTCATCATGTATACCTGAATGACATTGAGTGCTTTTACATGTGAAATAAGTTTTCTTGAGCTGAGAACTGTATGCCGTTGTTTATTACTTACATCATGACTTGAGCTTAGCACAGCTTTCAGGGTAGAAATCAAAGAGAATATTAATTTAAAAAATACTATCTGATACACTTTGTAAAACAGAAAAACAAATGTATATTTGTAATTTCCTTATTTTGGGGACCAAAGATGATTTTAGTATTGTACAGTATATACTTTCTAAAAATCTAAGTTAAGCATTTATTACTCTGTGGGGACATTATGTACTATTTGGATTATATAGAAGGGAAATAAAGTAGCTGTGAGAGACAACTAAATTTGAAACATTATCATCATATGATATATACACGGTTGATTCCCCCGCCCCCCGACTTAATTTTACATGGTATATTGAAGAGGTGGTAATATTTTAAGACTGTTACGCAAACCGCAGTCATCATAAAAAAGCTCTGAAGGAAGAAAATAGGGTAGAAAGTTGTTGGTTTTTTTTTTCTTAAACTTAGAAAAGTGACATTAAATTGCTTATCCCAGCCAGTTAGTCTTGCTTGTAATTGCTAAGCATACAGGGATAATTCCTTTTAGTCCTTGAGTGCTGTTTAGCTCCATAAAGGGACTCAAAATCCACTGTAAATAAAACTAAATTAAAGCTAAACAGTTGAACCTTGTCGGAGCAGGATGCTCAAAACTGTAATGGTTCCAGCTGGTCCTCTGTCGTCAAACTATGCAATCTCCATGTATTTCTGCATGTAGAAATGACAGTAAATCTTGAAACCTATGCACAGACACCAAAAGATTAATTAAAGCATAAGATATGATTGGAGCAACAGCGTAATAGCTGTTGTGTAGTGTTGTAAGAATATATGTTTTCCTTTTAATGCTATGTATGCTCAGTTGTGTCAGCCTTAGTTCAAGTTTCTTACATTCCTGTCATGATGTGCAAACTGCCTGCAACAGAAGTTTCTAACACCATAATTAAGAACTGATTTGACAATTTCATCGCTTCTTATGAAGTCGATTCCCTCTTACTCTCTACTTGTTCCTTTCATTTCATATATTCATGCCTCATCTAAAGTTTTAATATTTAATTTTTGTTAAGCCATCTTCATTGATCTGTATAGTGTCTGCTTCAATATAAGGAAGATAATAAGAATACTGTGTCTAATGACCTCTTGCTTAAGTATGGTACTCTTCCCTTTTATGATAGCTTATGATGCTTGAGCTGGATGTGCTGGGGGAAATTTTAGTCTTTCCCCTAGGACTTTGGAAGCTAGCTGGTATGCTGCATGCATTTCTGTGTACACTTTCTGGTAGGAGCCACGTGCTTAGAGGTTGAGAGAGATTCATCTACCTCTGCCTTTTTTGAGAGACAAGGTTAGATGCCTGTATTTCAGTCTGTGCTATTCATCATGGGCTTTGTATTCAGAAGCATGGCATCAGCAGTGAGCTGTGCCTTGGAAGCAGCTTCTCATCTTTTGCTTTTAAGATGTCTCCTATATGTGAATGTAAATGAAATCAGTAGTGTGGGGTGCTGCTTCATAAGCTTTGTCACCTGTTTCACTGTGCATTTCATGATACAATCGACAGTTTTTAACTGTTCGTATTTCATTGTTGATTCTAGAAAGAGGAGGCGAAAACTGGGGAAAGTTTCCAGTCTTCCCTAAGAAAATCTTTTACACCCCACTCCCCCGCCACCCCCCCCAAGTTATTTTGTACCATCTGATGACTGCCCCTTCCTAACACAGCAGACTTACTGGTTCTTGAAGTGCTGTGGACCACAGCAGGAGAATTGATCTGGTACAAGCTGCAGGTAGACTGTCATGAGTGAATTAACCACTAGTTTTCCATGAACTTTAAGGTCCCTAAACAAATTTGATATTTGTCACCTTTGTGCTATTTTGGGGATGTGCAGGCACCGTGAATGCTTATCTAATACGTGGTTCTATTAATGCAACCCTTCCCTCCCCCCCACCCTTTAGTCCTTGTTGTATATCTGTTATTTTCTTGTCTCATGACAACTTTGTAAACACTCCTCCTTGTTCTCTTTTGTGGAAAAAAAACCCCCAAACTAAACCAACAGTGCAACATAAGTAAGAATAATGTTTTTTAGGGCATAATTTAAAAAAAACCCAAACTTAATAGCAATTCAAATAGTGTAGAAAATAATAGCCTCTCTCCTGCTCAGATGAGATGCTGAACAGCTTTGTACATGAAAATCAGAGCATAAACAAGAGATCTTACACTGAAAGCTTTGGAGCCAAACATCTTCAGCAGGTA